GGCGCCCCTCGGCAGCGGCGGCCGGCGCCCCACCCCCCCCACCCCGCGGCAGCGTAGAAGGAGCATCGAGGAGTATCGAGGACGATCGTGGAGGATCGGCGAGGAGGCGAGGAGGAGAGGAGGAGGAGGAGGAGGAGGAGGAGGAGGAGGAGGAGGAGGGGGAGGAGGAGGAGGAGGAGGAGGAGGAGGAGCAGGAGGAGGAGGAGGAGGAGAGGAGGAGGAGGAGGAGGAGGAGGAGGAGGAGGAGGAGGAGGAGAGGAGGAAGAGGCGGAGGAGGAAGGTGGCCGCGTCTGCACGACACCAAGGCCGAGAGCGAGCGAGCGAGGAGGAGGAGAAGGAGGTGGAGGAGGAGGAGGAGGAAAAGTGATGATGATGATGAGGAGGAGGAGGTGAAGAAGAAGGAGGAGGATTGCGATGATGATGGTGGCGATGATGGTGATGGGGGTGGAGGTGGCTACGGAAATGGTAATTGTGGTGGTGATGATGGTGTCGATGCCGATGTCGATGGCAATGACGAAGATGATGATGGTGATGATCATGATGATGCTGAAGATGATGCTGATGGTGATGATGATGCAGATCATGCTGATGACGATGAAGCTCATGCTGATGCCGAAGCTGATGCTGATTATGATGATGATGATCATGATGATGCTGACGGAGATGATGATGCTACTGCTGATGATGCTGATGATGTTGATGATGATGGCGAGGGCTAGTTTGATGCTGATGATGCTGATGATGATAATGATGATGCTGACGAAGAGGATGATGCAACTGATGATGTTGATGACGATGAGGATGATGATTCTGATGGCGAGGATTAGTTTGATGCTGATGATAATCTTGATGTGTCTAATGATGATGGTGGGGGTGATGATGATGGTGATGCTGATGCCGGTGATGATGATGAGGATGATTATCATGATGATGACGATGCTGCTGCTGCTGCTGATGATGATGATGATGATCATGCGGCCGCGGCTGATGGGGAGGATGATGACACAAATGATGAGGATGACCACGCCAACGATGCTGGTGAGGAAGATTACACAGCTGAAGATGCTGATGACGACGATGATGAGGATGCTGCTCATAATGATGATAGCGATGCGGATGGCAATGATGATGATGATGATGCTGATGAACATGATGATGGTGCTGATAATGATGGTGATGTTGCTGATGATGGTGGTGGTGGTACTGATGAAACCGTTTGTGATGCTGCTGATGATGATCACGATGAGGACGATGCTGTTGCTGCTGCTGCTGACGAGGATGATGATGATGCTGATGTGTATGATGATGGTGATGGCGGCGATGCTGACGATGATGCTGATGCTGATGATGCTGATGGTGATGCTTCTGCTGATTATGATGATGATGATGATGATGATGATGATGATGATGATGATGAGGATGATGATGCGGATGATCATGATGATGACGATGCTGCTTCTGGTGATGCTAATGATGCTGACGCTGCTGATGATGATGGTCCTTATCATTATTATTGCGATGCTGCGAATGATGCTGTTGTTGTTGAGGATGATGCTGTTGGCGATTTGTTGTTGAGGGCTTATTCGTTTTATGATCAGTATTGTTGCGGTTATCCTTACTATTATAAATTCGATGCTGGTGACGGAGTCGGCAACGACGATGAGGAGGATGATGAAGAAGAGGGGAGGAGCAGGATGGGGGATCCAAGTTCGCCAGGCGTGACTAGTTCCCAACCGTACTGTGTCGAGTTGGGTCTTCGTTTTGGAGAGGCCGCCGCGCTCTCTCCTTCCGCCTCCTCCCGCTCACTCCGCCCTCCTCCCATCCCGCCTCTGCCCTCCGCAAGCCAACAACTTCGATGCACCCCTCACACGTTTGCTACCCCCACAACCATCTCCACCGACGACCCCAGTGGCAGGGTCCGCATGGCGCACCCGCACCCGATTCGACACACCTCTCGCACGGTTCGTGCACCAATAGGGAGCTTCACTGGAAGCTTCAGCGGCAGGGTCCGCACGGCTTTGCCGCACGCGATTCGGCACACCCCTCTCACGCTTCGTGGCTCCATCGGGAGCTCCACCGAAGGCCCCAGCGGCAGAGTCCACATGGCGTACCCTCATCCGATTCTGCGCACCCGTCAGACGTTTTGTGGCCCTGTGGCGAGCTCCACGGAAGGCCCTAGCGGCAGAGTCCGCAAGGTGTACTTGCATTTGATTCGGCACACCCCGCGAACGCCCTGCAACGCGTGACGAGCGACTTGCGTGGGTCGTCCGTGGCGCGGGGTCAGAAACATCAAGTGGCTGACAAGGGCCGGGGCGCCAGGTAGAGCGCGCAGGTGTCGGGCCGCACTTGGAGGCAGAGCGCAGGGAGTCTTTGCTATGCGCGTTGGTCGCCCCGAGAGGATTCCAGCGACGCGCGCGGGTCGTTCGCGGCGCGAGGCCATGCAGTTGGGAAGTCGAGAGAAGGCGAGACTCGGGCCGGCCGTTCCTCATGTCAGGCCTCGCGGATCAAATCCCGCAAAATCCAACTACTTGGCGAAACCGTCGCCGAAGTAAGAAGACCTTCCGCTCGCCTATGTCCGCTTTCCCCCCGCCCACGCCCCAACCCTCTTGCCAGACCCCCCCCTCCCTTCCACTTGCCTCGCGATGCTCGCAGCTGCATATAGTTGGGTCCTTCGCCCCCGTTCTTTAATTTGCCCCCGCCCGGCCTCCAGGGGGCGTTCTCGTCGCCACAGCTGGACTTCCTGAAGCAAGCAAGTTCGAACGCAACATTGGGCATGCCCAGAGATTGATTCCTACGGAGGAGGATCGAGAAGGAAGAGGAGGAGGAATAATAATACGAGGATGAGGATGAGGTGAAGAAGGAGGACCAGGGAAAACCCATAATGCATTAACGATGGTGCACTACACCGTCTTGTCGAAAGTTCTCTCCTCATACGTCGCGGTCGTACTTCTTCTCCACTGTGGCAAGCGTCCCCCAGAAGAAAGAAACACGACGACCACCAAGTGGGGTCCAGCCATTCAGGCGAGACCCCATCTCGTATAGGGTCCATCTTTCGTCCTTCTAGCTGGAAGGCTCTGCAAAAAGGTACGATCAACAAGATCAAGGAGGTCTACATATATCCCCGTTATGAAAAAGGATCTTCTCTCTCTATCTGCATAAGACCTATTCCCTCGTCTGGTCATAGAAATTGCGGAAATCTGAGACGACTGCCTCATTTCGAAAAGGGGGCGCTGTTCATCCGTGTACGTAGGCACAGCACACTTTGAAACTTCTGGTCATGGATTTGGAGGAGATCTCAAGCGAGGGCGCCGTTTCGACAACGAAGTGGCCGCTTTGCAAACGAATGTGCGCGGCGCTGAGACAAGAACCGCATTCTGAAAAAAAAGACCGGCCCTCCATCCTTGTAGAAGTTGGACGATTGTGCAACACACGTGCGCGGTGCTAGGTGAGAGCAGCATTGTGAAAAACGGCTGGCTCTCAACTTTGTAACAAGGTGAGTTTCCAGCTTCAGCATAATGACTCTGAAGGAAGTCTCAAGCGAGACGCTCCCGGACAAGCGCGATGGTGCGAGTGGAGGGTTGATGATTGAGGATGGGCGATGCTGCTGCTGATGATGATGATAATGATGATGAGGATGATGATGGTTTTGATGACGGTGATGATGACTGTGATGGTGGTGGTGATGACGACGACGATGATGATGAGGATGAGGATGAGGATGATAATTCTGATGATGCTGATGATGACGATGATGATATTGATGCTGATGACGACGATGACGATCATGACGATGGTGATGATGACGTTGATGATTATGATGACGACGATTCTGATGATGACGACGACGATGATGATGATGATAATGATGATAGCCATGGTGAGGATGAGGATGAGGATGTTGACGATGATAGTGACGATAATGATGACGATGCTGCTGCTGATGACGGTGCTGCTGATGATGCTGCTGCTGATGATGATTCTGATGATGATGATGGTGATGATGAAAGCGCACCACTGGATCACCCTGTAATTGAAAAGGGGGGGTGTGCTCGCAGAACTCCCCCCCCGTCCCCCCCTTCAAAGGGGGGTGAGATTTTCGACCACCCCCCCGCCCCTTCAGGGGGGGGGGGGTCCGAACCCCCCCCTCCCCCCATCCTTGAAGGGGGGGGGGTTCCAGAACCCCCAGGAGGAGGATGTGGCTCTCGCTGGCCGCACGGACGCGCGTCGAAATCTGCTGGCTTCCTCTTGCCTGGGTTGGTTCTCGGGGGGCGGGTGGGGGATGCCCTGTCAAGGCATCTTTCCTGCCCGTGATTGTGCGTCGGTCGCACCGACTTCACCTCGATGTTGTGCAAGCGGCTGCCGAGGATCTGGCTTCCGGAAGCCTCCAGATACATCTGGAGGCCCCCAGCGATTTCTGGAAGTTTTCGGCTTAGTGGGACTTCTGGAAGACCCTGGAGACTTCCTGGGAGTGAGAAGGCGGAGGCGGAGGAGGATGAGAAGAAGGAGACATACGAACAAGGAAGACGAAGAGGAAAATGAAGAGGAATAGGATGATGATGACGATGACGATGACGATGACGATGACGATGATGATGATGATGATGATGATGATGATGATGATGATGATGATGATGATGTTTAGGAGGATTCGGATGAGGATGATGATGATGAGGATGATGATGATGACGATGAGGGTAATGCTGCTGCTGATGATGATGTTGTTGATGATGATGATGCTGATGCTGCGACTTTCGATGATGATGATAATGTCGATGCTGATGATAATGGTTTGATGATGATGGTCATGGTAATGATAATGATGATGCTGATGCTGATGATGTTGGTGAGATGATGATGGTGATGGTGGGGGTGGTGGTGGCGATGACGATGATGATGGTGATGATGTTGATGATGATGCTGATGATGATGACGGTGATGAGGATGATGTGGATACGGATGAAAATGATGATGCTCATGGTGGTGATGATCATGACGATGAC